CACAGCGCCTCTTCTGGTTTTCTGGTGTTTAATTGGAGATAAGAGTCTCACAGACTTTCCTGCCGGGGCTGTCTTTGAACCATGATCCTTAGATCTCAGCCTACTGAGTAGCTAGGATTACAGGCATGAGCAACCAGCACTCAGCCTGAAGCTTATTTGAAAGATGGAATCCATTGAACTTTTCTACCTGGGCTGGCTTAAACTGTGATCCTCAGGTCTCAACCAGCTGGGTAGTTTGGATTGTAGGTGGAAGCCACATTGTTTGAAAAGGAGAATTATATAATGTAGAGTGATGGAGGGGTGAGGTTGATGGAGTATATGTACACATGTACAGTAGTGTCACAATGAAATCACATTGCACAAGTCAGGTATTTTTCTTCCTTTTTAATTCTTTTTTTTTTGGTCGGTCATGGGGCTTGAACTCTGGGCCTGAGTGCTATCCCTCAGCTCTTCAGCTCAAGGCTAGCGCTCTACCACTTGAGATACAGCACCACTTCCGGTTTTCTGGTGGTTTATTAGAGATAAGAGTTTCACAGACTTTCCTGCCCGGGCTGGCTTTGAACCGAGATCCTCAGATCTCAGCCTCCTGAGTAGCTAGGATTACAGGTGTGAGCCACCAGCACCCAGCCTTTTTAATTCTTTTTGTGTGCAGGTTACAGGGGCTAGGGAATTTGGTGACATGAGAGTTTGGGTTCAGGGCCGTAAGATTGTGAGAAGGTATGGTACTGCTGAGCTATGCTCCCAGCCCTGTTCTTTGCTGGCTACTTTGGAGATTCAGTGTGGCTTCTTGCCTGGGCTGCAGTCAGCCTACATCAGCCTTTGTGTCCATGCTGGGATCACAGGCATTGGCCAATACCCTCCTCAGGCCTGGGAACCGAAGGGCTGCCAGGGACAGGGTGCCTAGTTTTCCAGTAGCGGAGACAGGTCTGCCGGGATCCCCACCCACTCAGGCAGGAAGGCTGCCTCTGGCTTAAAGAACTTGAGGAAAGGAGACTGGGGGAGCGTGTAATTAGCCAGGTAAATGGTGTCTCCACCAGCCAGGTAGGCAGCCCAGATGCCGAAGGTCCCAATGGTCATGATGGTGTGGTTGCACTGCGTGAGTAGGGCAAAGTCCTTGCCCGGTGAGCCTTCCATGCCATTGCCAGCAAACACCACGTCCCCAAGAGAGGCGTTGATGTTGTCCTTGCACCAAGTCATGTCGTTGCTGGTGACCACAAACACTGGAGATTCGAACCGGGCTCGAAACCGATCCATGGCCTGCTGCAGGTAGCCCCGATGGGCCACCACCCCTTTCCACACATGGGCCATAAAGTGGACATAGTCTCCCCGGCGCACATGCACCCCTACAAAGGTGTGGGTCCGGCTCCTGTTCATGCGCAGGCCCCGCAGGAAGGCCTGGGCCTCCTCGTGCATGTGCTTGTGCAAGCTGAACTCCTGCAGGATCTCAGGGCGCAGGTGGTGGTAGAAAGTCCAGGAGCAGGGGGTACCTGTGAAGCGCACATAGTGGCTGGTGATGTTCCGGTGACGTTCTTCCATCCAGTCGTTGAGGTGGTAGTGGTGCCAGGGGACCCCGCGCTCTGTGATGACATCCAGCGTTGGGAGGCTGATCCTGAAGATGGGGGCCAGCATGCTGTGCATTGGAGCGGGGATGAAGGCTGGGTGTCCGTTCATCTTGGCCAGGGCGTAGAGCGTGGCGTACTCACCCATCTGGTTCCCCAGGCGGCCGATGGAGTTAATGGTCCACATGCCCAGCTGGCCACGGCTCGTGGGCTTCCTCCACCCTGCTCGGGTCTCTGTGACTGGATGAGACACCCATATCTGCTCATCCTGCCTCACTAGTCGTTTCTGGATGTGGAAGAGGGTGGAGGCGATGAAGATGAAGAGGATGGCGTGTGCCAGGGGGTAGAAGAAAGTCCTCTGTGTGGTGCTGCCCATGGCTGTGGGGGAGGGAAGAGCACACATTAGGTCTTGAGCAGCGGTCAGCCATGGAATGCATGAGTGCCCTTGCAGAGATTGGTGGTGATGAAAATAGAGACCAAGACAAGGGGCCAGGTGCTGCTGGCTCAGGCCTATAATCCTAGCTGAAGGACTAAACTCCATCCTATGACCCCAGGTATATATGAATATAGTTCACTTTCATCAACGTCTGCTGTAGCTAGTGTGTTAACTTTGATTCCTAATAAGTTCCAGGTAAGCCCTGATTAAAAGTTATTTCTATTGATCTACTTATTGCTTCAATTGGAGTAAGGATCTGTTGGCAATGATTCATTTGAGGATCTGGGAAGATAGCTCAGTGGTAGGAGTGCTTACCTTGCATGCATGAGATTCTAGGTTCAATTCCTCAGCACCACATAAGCAGAAAAAGCCAGAAGTGGTGCTGTGGCTCAAGTGGTAGAGTGCTAGCCCTAAGCTGAAGAGCTAAGGGACAGCGCCCAGGCCCAGAGTTCAGGCCCCATGACTGACACACAAAGAAAGCAAGAAAGCATGAAAGAAAAAAAAGAAAAGAAAAGAAAGACTCATTTGATCTGGGGACTGTGGTGAGACTCTTGTCTCTAATTGTCCAGCACAGTGCTAGAAGTGGTGCTGTGGCTGACATGATAGAGCATTAGCCTTGGGATAGAAAGCTGAGGCCAATGGAACATTATTCCAGCATGGAGAAGACACTCCTGGGACAAAGCATGTCCTGCCAATGATGGAGCATCCAGAGTTAGTTGGAAGACACCGCTCAGATAAGAGGGATGGTGTCACTTGTACTGGGCACTTCAAATGGAATCAGAGCCAGGAGATAAAAAGAAAATAATTTACAAGCCTGTCTGTCTAATATCTATGTTTGTCTACTTTGTAAATGAGGAGGAACTTACAGTCTTGCCTGTCAGTCATTTAAAGCTAGGGCCGGACTGGGTATGTGGCTTAGTGGTCGACAACTTGCCTACCATGTCTGAAGCCCTGGGTTTGATGCCTCATTACCAAAAAAAAAAAGAAAAAAAGAAAAAAGAAAAAGCTACAAGCCGCTCGGTGGCACAAGTGGTACAAGGCTAGCCTTGAGCTGGAGAGCACAGGGACACTGCCCAGGCCCAGAGTTCCGGCCCCACTGACCAAAAAAAGAAACAATTGACCCCAGAGTAAATGTATTTCACATTCTCACCAGACAGTGAAGGTCGAGCCTCTTGAAGAACTTTATTCAGGAGATTCAACTGCCAGGGGGAAAGATTGCAGCTGCTCTGCTTCCAGTGTCTTGAGTCTAGGGGTTTATATACCCTGGGCTGGGCTCTGATTGGTTGGTGCTATGCAAATGAAGTATAGCACAACTGGCCAATCAGAGACAATCTTCTGAATCACTGTGGGTCTATAGACCTAAAGTTTTCAATTAGGTGTGTATTTCCCAGACCCCCTTTCACCTCCAAAATGAAAATTATGTAGAACTAGGACATGTATTCTCTGACATTGGGAGTTCTCAAGCCTTATCTCCCATATGGACAAGCCAGCTTTGTCTTCCACTATAAGATGTTTTACAGGGGTCCTCAGTAATCTACCAAACTTTTCAATTTAATGTACCCTATCAGGAGAATGAAACTACAACAATGAAATTGAGATTGATTTCCTGTATGTGTGTGTGTTGTTGTTTTGTTTAGACAGTATTAGGATTTGAGCTCAAGGATTTATACCTGATTTGCTTGTTTGGTTCATGACTGATGCTCTAACTCTTGAGCCACATCGCAAGACTGACTTTTTGTTTTGTTTTTTGTTGGTCACGGGGCTTGAACTCTGGGTCTGGGTACTGTCCTTCAGCTCTTCAGCTCAAGGTGAGCACTCTACCACTGAAGTTACAGCACCACTTCCGATTTTCTGGTAGTTAATTGGAGATAAAGAGTCTCACGGACTTACCTCCCTGGGAAATCTCAGCCTACTTAGTAGCTAAGATTACACGTGTGAGCCACCGGCGGCTGGCAGGGCTAAGCTCCTTTTTTTCTTTTTCTTGCCAGTGCTTAGCCTGGGCACTGTCCCTGAAATCTACAGCTCAAGGATAGTGCTCTATCACTTTGAACCATGGCCCCACTTCTGGGTTTCGGGTGGTTAATTGGAGATAAGTCTGAGGGACTTTCCTGCCTGGACCAGCTTTGAATTGTGATACTCAGATCTCAGCCTCCTAAATAGCTAGGATTACAGGCATGAGTGTCCTGCACCTGGCCCAAAGCTTATTTTAAAAATGGAGTTCAGGGCTGGGAAGGTGGCATAGTAGTAGAATACTTACCTTGCATGGGCTTGATTCCTCAGCACCACATGAGCAGAAAAAGCCAGAAGTGGCACCACGGCTCTGTCGGGAGCCCTAAACTTGACTATCTCTCTGGAACATCTCTTGAGGCTGTTTACATAATCTGGTCTTTTCATCCTGCCCCAAACAAAGACCAGATAGCTGCTATGGACCACCTTTTCACACTGCCCTAAGCAAACATCCTGCAGCTGCTACGGCCAATGAAAAAGCTTCCTTATTCTAAGCATATAAATACCCCTGTGTGAAAAATAAAATTTGGCAGCTTGATCAGAATCCCTGTCTTACTGTCATTCTTCGTGTCTCTTGTCCCTTCATTCCTTCTCGCTTAGGTTCATTGCCCTCGTTGAAGTCCTGCGGGTCGGGACACAGCTCAAGTAGTAGAGCGCTAGCTTTGAGCTGAAGAGCTCAGGGACAGCGCCCAGGCCCAGAGTTCAAACCTCGAAACCGGCAAAATAAATAAATAAATAAGAGTCCATTGAACTTTTCTACCTGGACTGGTTTTGAACTGTGATCCTCCAGGTACCAGCCTACTGGGTAGTCTAGATTGTAGGTGGGAGTCACGTTGTTTGAAGATAATTATATAATGCAGAGTGATGGAGGGGTAAAGTTGATAGAACATATGTACACATGTACAGGAGTGTCACAATGAAATCACCCTTGCAAAAGTCAGTTATTTTTCTTCCCGTTTTATTCTTTTTGTGTGCAGGGTACAGGGGCTAGGGAATTTGGTGACACGAGGGTTTGAGTTCAGGGCCATGCGATTGCAAGATTGGTATGGTACTGCTGAGCCATGCTCCCAGCCCTGTTCTTTGCTGACTACTTTGGAGATCCAGTCTGGCTTCTTGCCTGGGCTATATTCAGCCTACATCAGCCTTTGTGTCCATGCTGGGGTCACAGGCATTGGCCAATGCCCTCCTCAGGCCTGGGAACCCAAGGGCTGCCAGGGACAGGGTGCCTAGTGCTTGAGTAGCGGGGACAGGTCTGCCGGGATCCCCTCCCACTCAGGCAGGAAGGCTGCCTCTGGCTTAAAGACCTTGAGGAAAGGGGAGTCGGGGAGCGTGTAATTGGCCAGGTAAATGGTGTCTCCACCGGCCAGGTAGGCAGCCCAGATGCCGAAGGTCCCGATGGTCATGATGGTGTGGTTGCACTGCGTGAGTAGGGCAAAGTCCTTACCCGGTGAGCCTTCCATGCCGTTGCCAGCAAACACCACGTCCCCAAGAGAGGCATTGATGTTGTCCTTGCACCAGGCCATGCCGTTGCTGGTGACCACAAACACTGGAGATTTGAACCGGGCTCGAAACCGATCCATGGCCTGCTGCAGGTAGCCCCGATGGGCCACCACCCCTTTCCACATATTTGGCATGACATGGACATAGTCTCCCCGGCGCACGTGCACCCCTACAAAGGTGCGGGGCTGACTCCCATTCATGCGCAGGCCCCGCAGGAAAGCCTGGGCCTCCTCACGCACATGCTCATGCAAGCTGAACTCTTGCAGGATCTCAGGGCGCAGGTGGTGGTAGAAAGTCCAGGAGCAGGGGGTACCTGTGAAGCGCACATAGTGGCTGGTGATGTTCCGGTGACGCTCCTCCATCCAGTCATTGAGGTGGTAATTGTGCCAGGGGACCCCGCGCTCCATGACGCTGGGCAGCACCGGGAGGCTGATCTTGAAGATGGGGGCCAGCATGCTGTGCATTGGAGCAGGGATGAAGGCCGGGTGTCCGTTCATCTTGGCCAGGGCGTAGAGCGTGGCGTACTCACCCATCTGGTTCCCCAGGCGGCCGAGGGAGTTAATGGTCCACATGCCCAGCTGGGCACGGCTCGTGGGCTTCCTCCACTCTGCCGGGATCTCCATGACTGGATGAGACACCCATATCTGCTCATCCTGCCCACTACTGGTTTGGAGCCTCACTAGGCGCCGCTGGATGTGGAAGAGGGTGGAGGCGATGAAGATGAAGAGGATGGCGTGTGCCAGGGGGTAGAAGAAAGTCCCCTGTGTGGTGCTGCCCATGGCTGTGGGGGAGGGGAGAGCACACATTAGGTCTTGAGCAGCGGTCAGCCATGTGGAATGCATGAGTTCCCATGCAGAGATCGTGGTGATGAAAATAGAGACCAAGACAAGGGGCCAGGTGCTGCTGGCTCAGGCCTGTAATCCTAGCTGAAGGACTGAACCAGGACTGAACCCCATCCTATGACCCCAGGTGCATATGAATGTCAGGCAAAACCCAAGGTATGCACACATATGCTTGACTACAGGCAGGGCCATCTGACCTGAGCCTGGCTGTAAACATTGCTTGGTGGTGCTGTGCTCAGGTGTTAGAGCACTCGCCTGGAGCTGAACAGCTCAGGGACAGCACCCAGACCCGGACAGGGTTAATTCTGGACTGAAGGTTGAGCACTGGATCCTGAGTACCTCAAAGCATCAAGCAAGACAGATGCAGAGCTGTTTGAACATTAAAAAGCCCGACACCTTGGATAAGGGAGACAGTTCTTACTCCACTTACTCTATTTTTTGCCCACACCTGCAGTCACCGCCCCTGTACCCAACTCAAGTAACCTCTGTCTCCTTGCTCAGACCCTACAAAAGCCTCACTCCAACCCCACCTCCTTACACAACCTCCTAGCCCACAGGAAGGCTCTGCCCCCTGCAGTGCCTCAAGAAACAATCCTAGGCTGTTGAGAACTTGGGTCCAGCTGTTTCCTTTTCCTTTCTTCTGCATTTTCCTAACAAGGGTCCACAAGTGCTATATTCAGTTAAAAAGTAAGAGATTATGATTGAGTGTTCTTTCAGTTTAGTCTTTACAGATCTTCGGTAGCAATTATAGGCAGACCCATAGAGGACTCTTGTAAGTTTGTCACATTTAACTTTCTTTCTTCTTCTTCTTTTATTTCCAATTTACTTGTTGCTTTACAGGTGCTACACACCCTGGTTACCTTTACATACATCAGGAAATAAGTACATTTCCTTTCACAGGGTGTCATGTGTTCCCTCATTTTCTCCAACTCCCTCTCTCCCATCTCCACCCACAAGTTGCATAGTTCACTTTCATCAACGTCTGCTGTAGCCAGTGTGTTAACTTTGATTCTTAATAAGTTCCATATAAGCCTTGCTTAAAATCTACTTCTATTGATTTTCTTGTTGCTTCAATTGGAGTAAGGACCTGTAGGCAAAGACTCATTTGATCTGGGGACTGTGGATCAAAGTCAGCCCAGGCAGAGAGGTCCTTCTGAGACTTTTGTCTCTAATTATCCAGCAGAGTGCTGGAGGTGGTGCTGTGGCTCAACATGGTAGAGCTTTAGCCTTGAGTTGGAGGGATCAGGGACAGCACCCAGGCCCTGAGTTCAGGGGAAATGCCAATGGGGCATTATCCCAGTATGGAGAAGACACTCCTGGGACAAAGCGTGTCCTGCCAATCAATGATGGAGTGTGGGGGTCTTCGTCCGTCCCAGGAAAGACGGACGAGGGTCCAAGGAAAGGTAAGAGTGGCCGCTCGGCCCGTTTCCCAGCCTTCCTCAGCTCGGGAGACAATCAGACGCAGTGGGGAGTCAACTCAAGCAGGAAAACTCATTTATAAACACAGAGCAGCCCTTTTTTAAGCAAAAAAGAGCGGGTGGCATGGCAGGGGAGGAAGAGGAACCAATCACTGTCAAGGTCACACCCTATCATGCACCTAAGCTTCCATGGGGCTCTGCCCACTCAAGTCCCTCTCAGCGCCATCTTTGCTGCCCATGTGCTCTACAGATGGAGCATCCAGAGTCAGTTGGAAGAAACTGTTCAGTTAAGAGGGATGGTGTCACTTGTGCTTGGCCCTTCAAAAGAAATCAAAGCCAGGAGGTCAAAAGTAAATAATTTATAAGCATGTATGTCTAATATCCATGTCTGTCTACTTTGTAAATGAGCAGGAACTTATGCCCTTGCCTGTCAGTCATCGGTTATAGTGGCTAATAAAAAGCTAGGGCTGAGCTGGGTCTGTGGCTCAGTGGTAGAGTGCTTGCATAGCATGCCTGAAGCCCTGGGTTCCATTCCTCATCACCACATAAACAGAAAAAGCCACAAGTGGTTCTGTGGCTCAAGTGGTAAAGTGCTAGCATTGAGCAAAAGAATTTTCTCAAGCCCTAAGTTCAAACCGTAGGACTCAAAAAAAAGCTAGGGTTTTCAAATAGGGGAGGGATAGTTTTAAGTTAACAAAACTCCAGCCCCCAGTGTCTGCTCTAATTGGCAGTGATTTTGATCTGGCACCTGCCACATAAATTCATCTGTTCAGGAAAAGAGGCTTGTACCCAAAAGGGCATGGACCTGAGATCCTGTCTCTATTGGGCTGTCTGGGAACTTTCACAGGTAGCTGTTATGCGTTGTAAGCATCTCCAAAGGTCAGGTACCCCAGAGAGACAGAAAAATCCTTTTCCAAACCAGAGGGCTAAACAGGTTGTACAACGGTAGCCCTAGGAAACGTCTGTGTAGTTGTTATTAAAAGTTAAGTGTTGTATGTTCTTTCCAGTTTGGAGTAAAAATTGCTCCTAATAACATCTGATCTTGGCAACCCCTTGGTAAAATAAGCTAAGGCTTTAGGTCTCTGGTGAGACAGGGTCAATACCCCAAACTCAACTTGAAGAAGTTAAAGAAGATGGATCTCTGCCTATCAACTCTCCTTATGGTCAAGGGACTAGTCATTTTCGGAAAAACGAGACAGAATAGATGAAAGGAATAGACATGGGAAAACAGTGGTGACTAGTACTGACATCCTTAAGTGTGGAGACCATGATGTGAGAGGTGGTATTACAGGCCCAAGCCTTCTATGTCTGCCCAGGAAATCCTAGCCTTATTGGAGGCCGTCTGGTTAACAAGAGCTGGTACATGGCCCTGAGCCAAACTGCCCTAAAAAATCCAATGAGGCCCCTAAATGACTGTCCCTGGCCCTAGCCTTCCATCCAGTGTCAATGTACTCAGAGGAAACAACCAGAGAAGTATTGGTAGATTCCACTAAATTAAGGCCCCTGGCTTAGGTTAAATTAATAATGCTTCTTTAATTCAAGTTTCTGCAGAACATGCAGGCAACTAGCAGGGGATGTGTAAATGGTTTACCCAGCTTGGATCTAGCCCATCTCTTCCAACCTGGAGATACTATTTGGATTAAGAAGTTCATCAAGAGCTGGGTGCTGGTGGCTCATTCTTGAAATCCTAGCTACTCAGGAGGCTGAGATCTGAGGATCACGGTTCAAAGCCAGCCTGGGCAGGAAAGTCCATGAGACTCTTATCTCCAATAAACCACCAGAAAAAAAACTGAAGTGGTGCTGTGACTCAAGGGGTAGAGCGCTCGTCTTGAGCTGAAGAGATAAGAGACAGGGCCCAGGCCCAGAGTTCAAACACCATGACTGACCAAAAAAAAAAAAAAAAGTTCATCAAGGACAGCCTTGCAGGTAGCTGGAAGGACTCTACATTGTCATCCTGGACACCCCTACCATGGGAAAATTAGATGCGCCCCCTGTCTGGCTCTGTCACAAAGGGCTGATTCCTGGTGGAAGGTCACTTTGGATCTGATAGAACTAAGATATTTGTGTCAAGTCTTCTCCCAACTCCTTCCCAGAGCCTTCTTTGTGTGACACATTTTGTGGTATGTCGATGTGTAAGCCTTACCCAGCCTGACCTGGGAAAGGATTGATGGTTATGTTCAAGTCCAAAGGATGCTGGGTTATCAGTCATAGGGAGCCAACTTTGAGTGCTGGAGATGCCTTGAGTTACAGGTGGGAACAGCCCAGGAGAAAACTAAAGGGGTAACTGTGGGCAGCCTTAGGAAAAAATTTTATTTTCATGCTAATGGAGCAGCTCTCGCTCAGAAGAGCTTCCTTTGTAATCTTTGTTTCAAGTAACTAGGTTAGGCTGTTGGTTTTAAGGGCCCAGTGCAGCTCTCTCATTGGGAAATCAATAGTTTGATTTCATGTGCATAAAACCAGAGGGGATTAAAGTAAGGACTCTGGGTCTAAGTACATCACCTTGTCCTCCTAGCCATTTGATGCCTTGCTGGGTGGAGGGAGCTTTCCACTTTCCTTTCAGTGAGAGGCCATTTACTGAACTGCTGATGTCATGCTCTTTAGCCTTAGGAAACCTTTTGCTGCAACAAATACTCTTCCTTGATTATCTCCCTAAATGATTTGATTTACTTGCCTCTGAGTATCTCCCCATATGGAAAGTTTGAGGAGTATCCCCTGCCCCCCCCATTATGGAAAGTTTAGGCTGACCCCTGAGCTACTTCCCTACTTCCCTAAATGGAAAGTTCTGCTGGTACCTGAGAATTTCCCTAAGACTGTAGGAGGAGCTGGGAAGGTGCAGGGGTGAGTGGAGATGGAATAGCAGCACCTGGGACATTTTAGGGGCCCCTACCCCCAAATTCACAACCAGGCCTCAGCTGCTGCTGGCAACAAGGACAAGGAGCCTGGCTTCTCATCCGTTCTGTGATCAGTTCACCAGCTCTCCACCCTCAGTTCCCACTGCCACAACCAGCATATCAGGCCTTGCCATGGGGTAGGGGAGAGACGGGAGGTCAAGCCTGTTCCTTGGAGGGAGGTTCTTCCATGCTGGAAAGTACCTCAAACTCAGAGGGACAATCGAGCCTCCAGCTCTCTCAGGGAAATGGGGTCTGTTTTCTCCCTGTCTTTGCATCTCAGCCACAGCCTCTTCTTCACCCCTTTGGCTTTCTTGCATCCTCTAGGCCTCCAACTGTCCCTTATGTCCACAGTTGACCTGTCTGCTGGAACCATCTTATGGACCTCAAGATAGAGTTCCATCCATGCCTGAAAAGAGAAGGCAAATGTAAAGGGAGACCTGTCTCAAAAAAGAAATACCTAGCTGGGCGCTGGTGGCTTAAGCTTGTAATCCTAGCAGCTCAGGAGGCTGAGATCTAAGGATCAAGGTTCAAAGCCAGCCCAGGCAGGAAAACCCATGAAACTTTTTTTTTTTTTTTTTTGTCGGCCGTGGGGCTTGAACTCTGGGCCTGGGCGCTGTCCCTCAGCTC